GGCCGCGGGGCCGGGCCGAGCTCGGCGGGGCCTCGCTGCGTCCTCGGCCGGGCCACGCAGCGCTGGCGGCCCCGAGCACGGCCCCGAGCACGGCCCCGAGCACGGCCCCGAGCACGGCCCCGAGCACGGCCCCGAGCACGGCCCCGAGCACGGCCCCTCCTCGTCCCCTTCAGGCCGGCGTCAGACACAGCGGCTCATCTTCCCCTTCATCCCATCCCGAACACGGCCCCTCATCCTCCCCTTCACCGTGTCCCTAACACAGCCCCCTCAGCCCCATCCCGCTCCTCCCCACAGACGGCCCTCAGTGCCTCCCTGCCACCCCCGTGCCCCGGCACGGCTCTCGGGCCTCCCTCTCCGCACAGACAGGGACGTGTCCTCGCCTTTGCAGCGGCAGGAGCAGCGGGGCGGGTGGGGGGTGGCCGCCACTGCTGTCTGCCCGCGCTGTGCCCCAGAGTCCGCGCCCCGTGGGCCCAGTGTGGGACCTCCCAGCACCCCTTCTCCATCCCATCTCCAGCTGGTGAGGAGCCTCCAATGCCCCCAGCGCACCCACCACCCTCCACAGGACCCCCGGGACCGCCTCCCTTGGCCGTCAGGTGCCTGCCCCAGCCTTGCCCATGTTTTCAAACTCTGTCTTATCCTTAAACCATCTGCAGGCAGGAGCCACCTCGGGCACTGCTGGTGGGACACTGTCCCAAAGGGCTGCAGGGACGCGCGGATCCTGGAGCAGGGACACCAGCACCAACCAGCCGGCCAGAGCACCCCAGCCAGGGCTTGACTCGACTGCCAGACCATTCCTGCCTCAGAGGCAGTAAACAGTGACACCAGGACAGTTAGACACTGTGATGGCCCAACACAACGCCCTGCCGTGCACAGCTCCCCCTTGCTTCCCAGAGGAATTAGGCTCTTCAGTGAAGCTCATGTCCCACATGAAGAGACTAATTCCAGGAAGCCACAGGTCCTCACCCATCTTTTCTGTGGTCCTGCAGAGCTCAGCTGTGCACCCTCCGCACCTCCCCGCCCTGCAAATCCTGTGCAGCTTTGAGACCTGACCTGCAGAGGAATCCTGAGCCACCACTGGACAAGGACATTGCCCACCCTCCTGCTCCCATCCCCTCGCATCCCGCAGTCAGTTCCCAAAACTGGGGCTCTCCTCTTAGGGCCAGCAGGGCTTGGTGGGCTGCAAGTGTCAAACAGCTGCCGAGACAAACTAGCAGTGTACCAAGAGCTGCTCCTCCTCCTCTTTCTCCTCCTCCTTGTGCGGTCTCACCAGGTCTCATCAGGCAAAAGCAACTTCCTGGCATTGCACACAGCTCCTCACCAGCTGTTAAGAAAGAGCTGCTGGTTTCAAGGGAGGGTGCCTCAGAGGGGCTTGTCCAGAATGCTTCGGGTGGTCTTCAGCAAGGAGGTGAGCACACAGGAAAGCATCCACTGATGGAAGATGGTGAGTAAGAACCAGACCTGGGCTATGGTGGGCATGGGGACAGGACACTGCGAGCCACATGTCCTGGTTGGAAGGGTTTTGGGGATGTCCTTGTGAGGGGTTGGATGTGGCCAACACCCTCACTACTCCTGAAAGCCAAAGTCCTCCTGTACATCTGAGCTGGATGGAGCTTCAAAGACCTCTGACCAGTTTCTGGGCTCGGAGGAAGATTTTCTGAGTGAACTTATGCTGAATATAAACATCTGTGAAAGGAGGAGGCCACACTCCCACTGAGTCCAGGAGAGCCTCCACCAGCACAAAATGGATTGGAAAAGCTGGAACTGATCACAGTGATGGCAATGCTGTACATCCAAGGGCTCTGAGCAAGTCCCAGCTCATGGAACAGGCCCAAAACTGATCATTACAAACCACCAAATCAAAAATCCCAACGGCATGTTTGGGAATCTGGAAAACATTGCTTTTTTCACTAATTTGAGTGAAAGGCCCAGTGATGGTGTACAGGAAATGGCACATTCATGCTGCTTCAGCACTGCTATACAACTGCTGCATTTGGGGGTTTACCAGGAAAACTGGGGCGTTTGCCTGGGGAACTTGCACTTTTGTAAGTCTGTATATATACATTTGATCAGCTATGTCTAAAAATATTGCATCAGCTTCTCTCCATATCAGCCTTTCCCTTGCGAAAATAAAAATTATGCAATCACAAACCCAAGCTGAAATCCCAGAAGGATAAAAACTCCAAAATCGAGGCATACAGCTCCAGTGAAGCAGCCAGCTGCGGTGCAAAGGGACACTGTGGTCTGGAGACAGGGGGTGAGAGAAAGATGGGGAGGGTAAGGTGATCCCTCCCCTCTCACAAGGTCCATCTCAGAAGATTAGGAAAAATGTAGCCCCATCCCGTAGCTTTGTGCCATACCTCCAACATGGCAGTCTTCTTCCAAGAGCCGTTCACAGCCTCCTCCAGGCAGCGTTTCTCTGGAGGCTCTAGAGAAAAGTGAATTTTGCTCACTAAGGAAGTTAAAGGCAGCTCTGTGCTGGAGCAGATGTGTCCTGGTTTGTGTGTGCACAGTGTGAACCACACAGGAAAGACACATGTCATAAAAGTAGGGCAGTCTGCTGCCTCTTGGCCTTGTTTTTTCTGCACATAGGCTTTAGTGGAATGAGTCTCAGCAGTGTCATCCCCACTTTTCCTCCAGGGAGGGACCCAATGGCCCTGTGCAGTCTCCCCCACCAACTCATCATGGAAAACAGGACAAGGGCAAGGCAGGTTGCTCCCATCTGAGCTCTGGGAAATCTCTGGATCTCAGATTCTGCCCTCAGGAGCTTTGCTACTACCACCCAGTCCCTCTGATCTGATGGTCCTTGGTAGTGTACAGAGGGTGGATCAGACCAAAAGACTCCATGAAAGGTCTCCTGGATGCCCTCGTGGTGGGGTAACCTGGTCCCAGTTTGGTGCAGCCCCATGTTGTTTACTCAGATATATTCAGGACCTTTTTGAGCAAAGACCTCATTTTGTGGAGAAGACTTAGTGTGAGACCATGTTGAAGGAATACCACATTCCCCAGGGTGAATTTTGACTCATTTTCCTCCATGGTGTTTTAACTGGAACTGTTTTTCTTAATGGTTGCAGATGCCTCTGGAGGGGAGAGATGCCGTGGTGAGGCACCTTCGGGCAAAGTTCCAACAGAACAGGAAAGAGCCTCCCAAAGCGGGTGGCTGGCCAGAGAGTCACCCTGCTGCCTCTCATGGACCAGAGCCAGGACAGACCTCTGCCATGGCCTCCAAGGGGGATCCTCCTCAGGAGGCCCCCTGGAGCAGGAGGGACTGCAGCAGGGCCTCTCCACCTCACAGTACAGGTCAGAGTTTGGGACAGCATTCACCTCATTCCACCTGCGAGACCCCGGCACGAATGGTGTGTCGGAAGAAGGGGACGGCTCCAGGTGCCAACTTCCACCCAGTGCGTGCAAAGCCAGCAGGAGATGTGTTGAACAAGAAGGTGGAAGCCAGCTCTGACCCTCCCCACAGGAAGCCAGCCCAGCAGACACGGCCACCTGCCAAAGACAAGGGGGCTCCAGTGGTTCTTGCCAAAGGCACAGCTGCTGCATCCCCCCTGCTTGCGGTGGGAAGCCCCCAAAGGATGGAGCACCCAGCTGTGCCCCGGAGGAAGCCTTTGCCACATGTCAGGGCACTGGGAGTGAAGCCAGGCAAGCCCCGGCGCCCTCCTGATGTGGATTTGGCAAAGTTCAGAGCAGCTGCACATCCTGGGACATCCATCTGTCCTGCCACAGAACCACCAAGGAGTGCTCAGCTGGGTATGGCCAGGCACAGGAAAGTCCCTCAGGAAAGGGCACTGCTCATTCAGTAAGGAAAATCTCCCCAGTTAGAGCCTGCAGCTCTTGGGAGATGGAAATACTGGGAAGGCTTATGGAGAGGTGTATTACCAAAGGGGCTGTTATAGGCTACAGCATGAGGATGAGAATGAGAGAGAAGGAGGGCAGGTGAAAAAACAAAGTGCCCTGTCCCTGGCTGGGCACAGGTTTCCATCTCTGGAGTGTTTGTAGGAAGTAAGGTTGGAGTAAGTAACATGAGAGATGTTGCCAAATTGGAGTGAGCCCAAGATGGCCGGGGACTGGAGCACATGGAGAAAGAAGGGCTGAGACCCAGGCTTGTTCAGCTGGGAGGAGAGGGAAGAAGGGGAGACCTCACTGCCCACAGCTACCTAACAGGGAGAAAATGGGGCCAGACTCTTCCCAAAGGTGCCCGGGGGCAGGCCTGGGGGCGATGGGCATGAGCAGGAGGGGAGGTGCCAGTCAGACACTGCCCCACCACGCTCCACAGTGGCCTTCCAGAGCCACGCTGCTGTGGTGGTTTCTCACAGTTGCTGTTCTGCTAATCCACACTACAGGTGATGAAAGCTGTTTCAAATACCATTTCTTGCTCAGTTTCTCTAACCGTGAGAGTAGACTTCCCTTCCTTTCCTTAAGAGAACTGAAAAATGAAGCTGGTCTATGTTATAATTAAAAGGTGTTATCAGGGCTGGCCACACTGTTGTGCTGGTGGATTCTCACATGACTGGCTACAAGTATTTACTTGTCTTGTGGGTCCTAAGGCAAGCTGCAACATCTAGAATCACACCTTGCCTTGATTTGATAATTTTTGTTAATTTTAAGGGCAATCTTAAGATGTTTAGGGCCAAGTATCTGATTGTGTATTACTTGGTACCATAAACCAGAAGAGATTTGATGTTGTACTCAGGGCTTTGTGCCCATTTTTTGTTGGTCTGGTTGACCAGGCTGGAGACAGGGCTTGTGGTACAAATAAGGGCATGTTAGCAGGAGTGTGGTCATGCTGGCAATCCTAAAAGGGGCAGCAGTATGTTGTGACTGGTGATGCTCCTGAGCACGTGGACATATCCAGGACTTGCCCTGATTCTGGTACATATCTGAAATTTAGGGGTTTTCCATATTCATGACACCTATTTTGGCCTCTTCCCCTCTCCTTCCATCATTTGTCCGGGAAGAAAGTGGCATTAGAAATATACAAACAGGAAAATACGTATTCAGTGTCCTCAGTGAGGAATCTGATGAGCTGTGCACCAGTGTGCGGGAAGAAAATCCGTGGATGGGCTATGGAGTAAAAAACTTCTTGCTCTATCAAGATGTGTAGTCAGTTTTATCTCCCCACCTCCCCCTGCACTAAATCCAGCCCAGAGTGGCTCTGACCTCAGGGTGTCTGATAGAGCTGAGGAGAAAATATGAAATAATCCCTCCCTGCTCCCTCCTGTTCTGCTGTTTGTCACAGGTCACCTTCAACCAGGCTGTGCTGCATCAGTGCCTGCACGGTTCCCACAGCAGGATGCTCCGGGAGGCATGGGGTAAGGACTGAGCAGCACTGCTATTCCAGGCTGTGCCAAGCCACTGGGAAGGGCACAAGATGTGACAGCAAGAGGATGTTTGGGTTTTCCTGCCTGCTGCTGGAGCACAGGGTGTGGAAGCAGCTCCCACAGTGTGAAGTGTGGCCATCCCTTGGGGCTACGTTGTTACCTCACTGTGGCCATTGCACCCTGCTGCCTGTCAACATCCAGCTGTGTGAGGAGCTGCTGGCACAGGGCACGGAGCTGCTGTCCAGCTCTGGCCCAGAGCCAGGGCCAGTCCATGGCCAGCCCACCCTCCTCCTGGCAGCCTGATTCTGCCCTCAGCCCCCAACGCCGTCACTGCAGCAGCACCTCCTAACCGTGCTCTGCCTCACCACAGGGGTGAAGATGACATCTACGATGATGTTGAGCCTGTTGAGCTGGCCAGGAGAAGACCAGGCCTTCTGCTGCCTCCTGTGTGCCAGTTGCCAGTGTATCCCTGCCCCAGAGGAGGTGAGTACAGGAGGGGCTTGGGTCTGTTTGGGGTGAGACTGCAGCTCCGAGAGCCGCGAGGCCCCAGTGAGCCGTGGGCAGCGGCAGGGCTGTGCTAAGCCTGCTGCTCCCCCACACAGGAGGGCAGTGCGTTCCTCTTGTACATGGGCACAGGAAACCTTGGTCCCCCCACACCTGGGGGCAAACTCAGGGTTTGGTCCCAGGAGGAGAGAGCTCTTGCTGCTCTTTGTATCCTGTTTTGGCAAGTGTTTACTCCTCACAGCAGCCTCATGGCAGCGCCTCTCCTGGGGTTTGGTTTTACAGGTGGAAATGCTGGCCGAGCCTCTAACAGGGTTACCTTGCTGGCAGCTACACAGAGGTAATGGGTCTTTTTTTACTATTTCTAAGGGTCCCAAGATGCCCAGGGGTCCTTGCTGCTCTGACAAAGCTGCTGCTTTAATGGTCTCTGCTGGGCTTGCAATAGGAAGGTCTGTGGGGAAGAGCACAAGCTGTACACCTTGCCCTGAGAGCTTCCACAGCCCCAGGGCTGGCACAGGGAAATGCAATGGGGAGCAGCCAGCAGGGAGAAGGGGATGAGAGGGAGCAGAGCATGGGATGCGGTCATCTGAACCTTCCCATGGCTTTCACTGGCTGCAGAGAATCCCAGGTGTCCCAGAAGATGAAGACAATGACACTCAAGGCATGCAAGAAAGAAGAGAAGATGGACAGGGGGTTTCAGAAGAAATTCAAGGTGAGCAGCAGTGAGTGATCACTTTTCCCTTTGAGCTTCTTCTCCCCTTCTGGGAAGGGTGCAGTGCAATGGTAGAAAGGAGCTGTGCTCCACAGGGACCGATGATACCCAGATCACACCCTGCCTTGTTCCCCCAGGTCACACCTGCCCCATTCCCCCAGATCAGACCAGTCCCACAGACCATTTGGCCAGAGAGGAATCTGTTTTTTTCAAGGAGGGAGGGCGGTCAGACCTGCCTGACTCAGCTCCCCACGGGTGCTGCTGTTTGTGTTTCAGTTCGAAGGCAGCATCCATGTCCTGACTCAGATGATGGTCGACCCTGCAGCAACAGAGAAGAGAGGTGGAGCAAAGAACCTGCCACTGAGACCGGGAGAAATCCTTGATGTCATTCAGTTTACAAATCAGGAGCAAATCCTCTGCCGGAACAGCCAGAGGAGGTGTAAGTCTGGAGGGGGATGGGGCTCGCCCACAGCAGGGAGCACAGCACAGTTTTGGGAAGAAGCTTCTTTGTGCAAACATTCCCTGACAGACCTCCTGACAGATCTCCTCCACCTGTTAGACAGATCTGACAGGTACCGTGCTATCCTAAGAAGGTTCCACTTTTCTCTGCACAAACGTCCTGCTCTTCCTTCCACTCAGCAGCAGCATTTCTGCTGTGAGATGGGCTTGTCCTTTCCCTCTGCCAAAAGCTTTTGCAGTCCTCAAAGCCTCCAGGTGGAATGGGCTGCAGATCCCTCAGGGAGAGGGGAAGGGATCAGGCTCTTCCCTGCCAGCTGCCATTCAGCCTGGCAGGCTCCTTCCTGATACTGCCCAGAGCAGGTTCCTCCTAAGGGTCCAGCTGGGCTGCCCAGAGCTGGATTCCTCCTTGTCCCAGCTCTTTCTGGGAACGTGAGGTGTTGCTAAACCCTGAGCAGGGGCAGGTGCTGGAGTGATTCCCTCTCATGCCCTGGTTCCCAGCACAATCTGACATGTTTTTCTTCACTCTGTTGCAGATGGCTACGTGCCCCGGGCTGTGATGCTGCCTCTGTGAGTACCCTTTCCCAGCCCCTTCATCTCCACTCCATGAGCTGCAACAACTGCTCCATGAGTGGCCAGTACCAAACTAGTCCTGGCTGACAACTCAAAACTACCCAGCTCAGGCTGTGACCATAAGCCTAACACCAGCAGGTTCCCCTGGGGTGGAATCTGCCATTTCTGGTGTCAGGAGAGATTCTGTCACTGGGACACTGGAAGCACTCCCCAGGCTGTGGTCCCTCGTGAGGGACCTGCCCAGACACTGCTCAGAGGCTGCTGCTGGGACAGGGTGAGGGTGCAGCCCCTCTGCAGAGCCAGGTCTGGAGCTCCTGGTAGCCTGGGATGAGGCCACATCCTGAGAGGGGCCAGAGTAATCTTAACCCCACTCCAGATGGTCCCAGCCATGCAGGGGGAGCACAGCACTGGGAGGGTCAAACAGGGCTGCAGGTGGACACCAGAGTCCAAGGACAGGTCAGGAGGAGCTGAGACAAACACGGCAGCAGGAGCTGGCCCTTGCCTTGGGGTTGGCAGGTGGTGGAACATGAGACACCACACTGCCCACAGCACCCCATCTTTGTCCTTGCAGGGACACTGACATCTATGATGACGTTGAGATTTATGGTAGGTGCACAGAACTGCTGCCATACTCCTTCACTGGCCACAGTCACCACCACACCAAGCACCAGGATTCCCCTCCTCCTGACCCTTTGCTGTTTTGCTGCCTTCCCTCTCTCTCTTCCCTCTGTGTAATTTCTCTTCCTCTCCCTGAGGTATCCTTTACTTACTCACAGTTCCCTAAAAGTCTTTGTGTTCCTCTGTTTCCAGTTATTTGGACTTCTCTGCACCCTGTTCTCAGGTTGCTCCCTCCACTTGCTGCCAGGCCCGGGGCGCCTTCAATGTCCTTTGAGGTGTCCCTGATCCCCCAGACAACTCAGACTTCCCTTTCCCAAGCAGCTGCTTTCTCCTGACATGCAAACTCCATCCCTGGCTGGCAGGTGGCTCTGAAGATAGAGCTGAATAGAGACAACTGTATTTCAGCTCTGCTCACAAGTACACACTTTACCTAATTCTGGCAGGCTGAGCCAACCGTGCTGAGGCCAAAGGCACAAGAGAGCACCACAGAGACCTTCCCAAGGGCTGAAACACGAACAGCACCAGACACCAGGCTCCTTTTGTGAAGGAGCTCTGCTTCCTCTGAGACAGGCTGCAGAACCACCTTGTTCCTGCCAGAAGAGAACAGTAGCATGGCTGCTCAGCATGTGGTGCTGCACAGATCCTGTCCCGTGGGGCAGGGGGCCCCAGATCCTCAAGTCACACCATCACTGTAGCTCTGTTTTGTCTGTGTAAAATACAGCAATGGTTCAAGAGGGTTTTATGGCCCTTTTTTTTTTTTTTTTTTTTTTTTTTTTTTTTTTTTTTTTTTTTTTTGGGGGGTGGGGTGGGGAGAGAGGGATAAAATCAGGCTCATAAAGGTTTTAATATTTTCCCATTTCCAGAGCATCTTCAGCCTGGGACCCCCTGCCCTTTTGTTCTGCACCACACTCTGGCCCCAGTGGCACTCCTGTCCTGAACCAGAGGCAAACTGGACAGAGAAATACTCTAAAATATCTAAATTAATTATGGACTAGGTGCTCCAGCAGCATCTCATGGCCTTGGGGCAGCTTCCCTGGAGAGCTGGCAAGAGGCTGGTTCCGTTGGGGCAGATATTTGTGTGGGAACGTTCAGCATCACCTGTTGGTGCCTCGGGCTGTGTCTGCAGATGCCATGGAAAGTTCTTCATTCACTGAGAAAGTTTCCCTTTGCAGACCCTGCCCTCATGAAGCCCTCACAGTTGGGGGCAGGATTGGGGTGCACTCACAGCCAGTGGGGAGCACAAATCTAGTGCAGGATCCAGATCTGGTGGCAGGATCCACCTTTTAGTGGATGCTTTTGGGTCAGGAACAGTGAGAAGTTCTGGGGCTGAGTCCCTGCTCTCAGCCTGCACACTGGCCCCCATCCCAGGGGCTGCAGGGTTAAACTGGGAGGGTTCAGCACCTCACGGCGGGATGCCAAGCCCAGATTAACCAGTCAAAGACGTCACTTTCCATTATGGGAAAGGCTCCCAAGTATCCCTGAAGCTTTTGGTTCTGGGGATTAACCACCAGCACACTCAGCTCCTGGCACAGAGCAGGGGTCCACTGGCGCCGCGGGGCCCGTGGCCATGAGTGGGGCTGGGAGCTGCTCCCAGGGGCATCATCTGGGCGGCTGAGGACGACCATGTGGGAGTGGGTCAGAAGAGCTGTGCTGCACTCGCTGGCCACGGCCCTCCTGCGCCTCTGGAAGGGGGTTCGGGCTTTTTGGTACAAAAATGGCCTCTTGACTCTCTCGATGCTGTCGGTGGTCACTGGATGCCTCCTGGGGTTCCTGCTGCGGGCGCTGGAGCTGACAGACCTGGTGAGCCTGGCTGGGATGGTGATGGGAATGAGTGGGATGGAGTGGGGCAGGGGGCAAGCCCTGGTGCCAGTAAGGGTCCCAAATGGGCAAAGCCCCAAAAATTTTCTTTCTGCCCAAGAAAACTACCTCAAGGCAGGTTTCTGCCCATGGCTTTTTTCTCTTTTCTCTTTTATTTTCTTTTTTCCAAGAAGGTGTCAACAAATGCCCAAGCTATAGGACAAATCCTGCCTCTCTCCAATGAGAGTGGGGAGCTCTGGGTTGGACCCCATGGGGCTGCAGGAGTTTGAGGTGGGGTGAGGATGGGAAAGGGGGGAATGTTTACTCAGGGGCTAAATGCTCAGTAAACAGGTTTCCCCCAACACCACCAGCAGCATTGGGATCTGAGGGATGGGGCCCAGGGGATGGGGTTTGAGGGATGGGGTCCTCCCATTACTCTCCTCTGCTGTGTTAAATCAAAGCACATTTCCATGCTTTGGAGAGGACCCAGCAAATAAATAGAGGGCTGGTGGGGAGCCTGGAGGGCTTTGAGGAGTCACCTTCCTTTGAGGAGCCTTGGAGACAAATGTATTGGAGAAAACTCATGAGAAAGGCACAATTGGCTCTGCCCCTTCCAGGAGCATAGTGCTGTGAAAGCAGTGAGCTGGGATCTCTGACTGGGGCAGCTGGGCCAGGGCTCAGCCCTGATCCTCAGCCAGGCTGCTGAGCCCAGGAGGGGCAATGCTGCTCCAGGAGAGCTCGGCTGATGCTGGAACATCCCTGTGTTGCCCACTAGGATTTAGCAAAGTCTTGTCATTTCAATTAGGCCCTTCAGCATCAGTGCAGCAGGGATGATCTCGTTACTTAGTTGAAGCTGGGTGTAATCTCCCTGCTTCCCAGTGCACACACCCGTGAGAGCCCAGCAGCCACCCGTGCTGGGCATGAGGCTGGCAGGGTCTTGGGGCTCCAGCCCCTCGTCCTGCCATGCATCAAGTTTATCCATCCTCTGCTTCAGCCCATCCTGCCCTGTTGACACAGCTCTGCTGTGGGCCTGGCAGCCACTAGAGACTGTCCCCAGTAAAGATTTTTGTCACAAAATCTGGAGGGGAGCTGGAGAGGTGGCCAGTCCCTGCTTTCCTCCCTGCAATGGGAAAGTGTCACAAAGCGGAGAGGCCCACAGCAAAGAGATCTGGCATTACCCCTTGCACTCAGCTGGGCCCATCACAGCTCTGCTCTGCTTGAGCTCCCTGGGGACATCAGCCATGTCCAGGTCACACACTGGGACAGTGCAGGGACAGCACAGGGGAGCAATTGGACAGCTGCCTTGGCACCCCTCACAGCCCCAGCATGAGGTGGTGGCTACTCTGTAGTAACCAAAAGTACCTTCTTGTCTTGGGGCCAACTCAGATCCCTCCCTGACACCTCTACAGTGGCACAGCAAAATAGGGGGATCAGGGATGGAAGGATGATGGATAGATGGATGGATGATGGATGGATGGAGGGATGGATGGATGGATGATGGATGGATGGATGGATGATGGATGGAAGGATGGATGGATGGATGGATGGATGATGGATGATGGATGGAAGGATGGATGGATGGATGGATGATGGATGGATGATGGATGGATGATGGATGGATGATGGATGGATGGATGATGGACGGATGGATGGATGGTGGGTAGAGATAGGGATAGAGGGGAGGAGGGATGCTGGCCAGGCTTCTGGTCCCACAGACCCCTCACTCTCCCCTTGGTCATGGCTGTGGGATCCAGACTTTGGAGGATGTCTCTGCAGCCCTTTTCCATGTCCATGTGAGGGGTGTAGGGGGTGGAGAGATGCCATGGCACCACAGTTGTCCCATGGATGGGGCAGACACCTGGGCTCTCCCTGAGCTCATCTTTTCCACCTGCAGCCATGAGATAAATCCCACCTTTTGTTGCTGCCAAAAGCTTTGGGGCACTTTTGCCCCAAATCAGATGCAGCCAAGCTCCCTGATGATGAGTGCAATGACTTTTGGGAGGAGCCAGTGGTGGGGCCATGTGGAGCATTCCCTGGAAGGCTACAGAATCAATAATGTTTTTGGGAGGAGACCAACCCCCACACGCTCCTCCCTTGTTTATAGCCAGGTTTGCCATCTGGCCAGTATTCCCCATCCCTGAGCCAGCTCCCAGTAAGGGCCAGCAGAGAATGGCCTCATGGAGTGCCTCAAGAAGTGGCTGCCAGTTCAGAACCAAGCTCAGAGCTGGGTCTGGTTGGGAAAAAGGCAAATTGATCAAGTTTGAGCCCGTAATCATTTACCTGACACATGCTCTGCTCTATGTGCAGGAGAAGCAGTATTTTTCCTTTCCTGGAGAGCTCCTCATGAGGATGCTGAAGATGCTGATCCTGCCCTTGATCACCTCCAGGTAAGACATCATCTTCTGCTCTAAAGCACCATCCTTCCATCACGTTGAAAAGATTGCCCTGTAACCCCCCATTGAGGAGATTACCCGAAAACTGCATGTGGTGAGAATAATCCTGGCTCCAAGCACCTGGCAGTCAAGCAGATGGCTTGGTGTTCATCAAACCCCATGATTTCCCAGCAGCAGTCTGGGACAAATCCTCACCTGGATTTGGTAGGCACTTGCACCCATCTCAGGTACCTGCACTGGCTGGGGTGTTTCCCTTCTTTTGGGCAGCTGGTGGTGTCAGGACCATCTGTGGGAGGTTGTGATGGGAGGGAGGGATCTGTTTAACCTCAAAGCAGATTCTCTTAGAGGGATTTGAGAAAGTTCAGGTAAAAAATCATAAGTATTCCCCAGTGATGTGTCTGTGTTTGCAAATTCCCATTTTATTGGCCCATACAGTCCTAGAAATAAGGAACAGAACCAGCAGTCCCACTGGGGTCTAAGCAAGGTCTTGAAAACCTTGTATGGATTAACATATTCCAAACAAAATGTTGGCATGTGCTCATCAGACACACACAAATGATCAAGTCCTTGTTCCCTCGAGGATGTGTCTTTTCTCTCTTGTTTGTCAGTTTGCTTGTTGTCCCATTTGCCTCTGGTTATTTCTGAGAACGGAGTGATCTCTATCCTGGCCACATCTGACCTGTTCAGTACCAGCCCTTGTAGAGAGGTCTGTACCTCACGTCCCTCCCTGAGGTGCCTGAGGGTTTCCCTTGGCTCTCAGCCCTCCCTGCAGCTCAGCTGCTGAGTGGTCCCCTCTGATCACTCTGATGTCTGTGGGTGCAGGGTCTGCAGAGGCCTCCTGGGAGTTTTCTTTCATGTTGGATTAAATTGGGGATTTTTCTATAATTACTGAATGAGGGTGAAGTGGAGTCTTCCCTCTATGCACCATCCCAGAGGGGACTGGGTGTGCTCTGGGGATCTGCAGATCCCCAAGCCCCAACTTGGAAAGCACCACCTATGCCAGGGTTGCTTTTCTGGACTCTCTTGAGTTTCCAAGGCCTTTCTCCTCCTGGACATGTGGCTGCTGAATGGGATCCATGGGCTGACCACCACCTCAGCCACCCTGTGTGTCCCCAGGGTTGGCACTGACCCTTGCAGCCTTCGATTATGTCCTGCCTCAGGGCCAGGGCTTGGCTGGTTCTGCAGGGGCTCAGTGTGGGTCTGTTAGCATGGGGGGCACACTGCAGCCCCCAAACACTCACATTTCACAGAATCCAGGAGCCTCCCCTCAGTCTCCTGTGCTCCAGCTGAACGAGCCAAGTGCCCTCAGCCGCTCCTCAGAGCCTTCCCCAGCTCCGTGTCCCTCCTTTGGGCACTCTCCAACAGCTTTGGATCCTTCTGATGTCGTGGTGCCCAAGGCCCCCAGCCCTGGAGGTGAGGCTGCCCCAGTGCAGAGCAGAGTGGGACAGTCCCTCCCTGGCCTGGTGCCCCCCAGGACAGGGTGGCCCTTTGGGCTGCCAGGACACAGCGGTGACTCAGATCCAACTTGCCACT